ACTAGCCACGTGGGTGGCCAAATGGCTCTCCACGTGTCGGCTCCTGGAACGGTGCAGCCCGTATGTGAATACCGTAGTGGCCAGGAATCCACTGCGGTATTTGGCTTTGCTTGATGAGTAGACGAACAATTGGATTCAAGGTTATTTAATGGAAACATCTATTACTCTGTTTTCTAAACACAGGGAGTACTATTAATTATTTTATATATTAATTAATGTTATTTCAAAAATAAGAAGGATAAAATTGGGAAGTATAGTAGTTTTGGAGAAAAAAATCTGGATTATTGTGGGTTATTCAAACAACTTCCATTTATTGTAATTATGCAAATATATCTAGTGATTTTTTCCTAATTTAGGTTACTCAAGATAAATATCTATTTTATTTAAATGATGATACATATCACTCTAAAAAAATTTACATATCACAAAAAGCTATCATTCACCAACAATCATGATAAACTCATCCAGAATAAATTTCTGGTCAATTTTCACTATGTCCATAGTTGTGATATCTTTGATATGTTCAGAAGCTTTTCAAATTCAACAAGATAAAGAACCACTTCGAGGTCATCTTACGAGAGTCACGATTCAAAATGATAACGACTATCTTCTTGGAATCCATTGTAAATCAAGAGATGATGATTTAGGCTTTCACATACTTGCTAAAGGTGAATTATTTGGTTGGAAGTTTCATGTCAATTTTCGTTATTCAACGCTCTATTTTTGTGGTTTTAGCCAAGGACAAATAAATAAAGGCGTGTTCGAAATTTACCGAGCGAATAGAGATTTTTATAGATGTACAAACTGTACATGGAAAGCTGAAAAGGATGGTCTTCACGGATATACCGATATTCCTAAGAGAGGTGATTTATTTTATAGTTGGTTAAAGTAATGTAAAATTGAGTTATTAAAGAAGAAAAAAAATGTAATGCAGTTGCTTAAAATCTATATATAATAGCAATCTCAATAAATGCTTTTTGCACTTGTGAATTGTTGCGTCTTTTTATCGCAACCTTTCGTTGATATTTTTTTGTTAAAGAAAATATATATTTTATGGTTGTTTTTCTTTTTTGTTGACATCTTTGGATTTGGATCGACAAGGCCCGATCCATAGTCAATCCCTACTACGCGGGGTAACGCGACTTAGTGGAGTCGAACTCCGGTGGGGAATGCGGAGTCAAATGGACTTAAACACTTGACTAAAGACACATCCCCGGTCAAGTTGTTTTTCTTAAAAGTTGTAATCCGAATAAATGTCTTCTACGGTTGCATCTTTTTATCATAATTTTTCATAAACGATTGCGACTGTTTAGTTGAACCATTGCAACATTTAGTTTATTTCACGAACAATTAAAACTTTTACTTTATATTATAAATCGTTATAACATTTATTTATTTTTAACTAAAAAATATATTTTACGGTTGTGTATTTTTAGAAAGTTGGAATACGAATAAATGTCTTTTATGATTGTGTCTTTTTATCGTAGTTCTTCATAAACGGTTGCAACAATTTAGTTGAATCGTTGCAACATTTAGTTTATTTTACGAACAGTTGTACCTTTTGGTTTATTTTATATATCATTATAACATTTATTTATTTAAACTAAAAAGTATATTTTACAGTTATATTATTTAAAAAGTTTCAATCCAAGTAAATATCTTCTATGGTTGCGTCTTTTAATCGTAGCTCTTGATAAATAGTTGCAACTGTTTAATTGAATCATTGCAACATTTAGTTTATTTCACAAACAGTTGTAACTTTTGGTTTATTTTATAAATCATTATAACATTTATTTATATAAATTAAAATATATATTTTACGGTTATATTTTTTAGAAAGTTTCAAGGCTTGATTGGTAGAATCTGTAAAAGCTGTGTACAAAGCCGTTTTTTAATCCTACAGCTCTAAAACAAAACAATCATTCTTTATAATATTTTTTAAAAGTTACAGCTAAAACCAAAAAAATCTTTGAATTTTTGGCTTTACACATCCAATTTTCCACAACAGCCAAAATGGTGCTTTGAGTTTTTCTCTTTACACTTCTAACCTTCTCTATCAAAATCTATATATATTTTACAACATATTTACTAATCCAGTTTTTAATTTTTAAAAGTTAAAGCTAAAATCGTAAAGCTATAGTATTGGTTAACTGTTAATTTTAAGAGAAATTCCTAAAAAAGGCCCTAAAACAAGTTTTATTGACAATAATAGCAAACACTCCATAAACTTCCAAAAATAGCACTAGTTAACTTACTATTAGTGTTTTTGTTCTAAAAATTTTATCACTAGCTTTCTTTTTTCAATAATACCACAACTTTTATATAAAAGCTATTCAACAAAATAAATTAGAAATAAATTTAAAATATTATATTTGGGTTCTCTATTTCCAATTTAGGGTATATATTTCTACCATTTAGAAGAGATTTTGATTTATTTTAATATTAGTTTATGGTATTATATTTGGGTTCCCTATTTCCAATTTAGGGTATATATTTTCACCATTTAAAAGAGATTTTTATTTTAATATTAGTTTGTGGTATTATATTTGGGTTCCCTATTTCCAAATTAGGGTATATATTTCCACTATTTAAAACAATTTTGATTCAATTTAATATTAGATTAGTGTTTGCTTTCTTTTTTATTTTCTATCTTATATTTTCATTAAGTTTAATTGAAGTTTATGGTGCTATTTGTGGAATTTTTCAAATGAGGTGCTATTTTTGGAAAAAACAACTTTTTGGGGCTATTTGTGTCAATCTCCCTAATTTTAATTATTTGTTAATTTTTTCCGAGGATTATCTCTCTTGAAAATAACATAATTTAAAATGTAGCGTCTTTTCATAATAAAATTTTATTGAATATATTTCTATAATTATACTTCTAATTGTTTAAGAAATTGAAAAATTGCGTCTACTTCTATTCGGGTCCGCGGGTCGGGTTCGGGTAAAACCCGATCGGGTACGGGTATGTCGGGTATGGTAATCTAGGACCCAATAGGGTAAACAGAAAACATCGGTTCGGGGTCGGTTCGGGTATGATCGGGTTCGGGTCGGTTCGGGTATCAGATTTGAGAACCGCTAAAAACCCGAAAAAAATCGGTTCCTGCGGATTTCGGGTCGGTTTCGGGTATTTTCTACCTGATTACACTGTTATGTATATTTTTTACCCTATTGTGTAAACTTTACACTCCAATAGAACAGAACAGAACTTAAAGCATTTAAATAGTAAAGTCTTAAACATCTACACATGATTCAAATCCAAGAAAAAGACAAATTGACAAGCCGGTTTGACTAACAAGTTCATGGCATAAAAACAGAAAACTAGAAGTAGACATTCTCACTCTCCTTGACCCGCATGAACCTATACAAGTAAACAAATGTCAGAAATTAGAATGCAACATATTCAATTAAGTTAGCATATTAGACCACACAATGCACATATTCAAGTAAGTAAAAATCATGTGACAACTAACAAATTCAGGCGCAAAACTGAATTCAATGCACATATTCAAGTAGAAAAAAGTGGTCTTGGTGTTTTCTGGTATTAAGAGACTGATTGATGAGGCTAAAGTTTGATGAACATATGTCTAAGATCTGACTTATGACTGAGCATCAAGTATTTACGCACTTGTTAGCAACTGAAAGAGATTCTAAAAGGGATGAAAATGCAGAAGGTTAAATTTGCATTTGGAGACAAAGACTAGGAAAAGTCTGGTTGTGTCTTGTTGCATCATAAGGAGACGTAAAGAGAAAGGTTTTCTGGTGAAGTCTGAAGGTTTGTTAATAAGAGACAAGGTTAAAGGTACCAAAGCAACAGCTTAACACTGTTGGTAAAGTTCTGTTAAACCATAAAGTTTTTGAACAGGGTTTATGTTCAAAGGTTAACTACACAAAACAGGTTTGTTGAGATTCAAAGGTTAACTACACTCTACACAAAACAGGTTTGTTGAGAAGTTATGCGGAATTTGCTAACTGGTTGTTGAGATTTAATCATCTTCAAACTAAAAACAAAACAGTTCAAACTTCAAACGATAAGGACACAAGTAACAAAAGTGTTGAGAGTTGAGACAAAACAGATCAAACCAAAAACCTCTTCTCCGAAACGATTAAAATCGAGAGTCGAGACAAACAGTGTTGAGACTAAAAGCCTATGTGAATCTCCTACAATTCTCAATCTTTTTAGCACCATAAACACAAAACTGCAGAGACTTCCATTTACCAATATTAACAAGTGATGCAGAGACTTGATTACATTGATGCAGAGACTTCGATTTACGGATAACCAAGACTCAGAGACTCGATTACAATGATGCAGAGACTCGATTACAAACATGATGCAGAAACACGATAAATACATGATGCATAAACTTCGATTTACAGAGAAACATGATGCTGACTGCAGAGACTCGATTACAATTTACAAACATGATGCAAACACTGCAGACACATAGATCATGTAGTAGAACAATCGAAAATTACCTCTGACTGGTTTCGCGACAATGCCGATGGTGGAGAAGTGACCAGAGACGGTGTCGTGGTCTTCTCTTGAGTTTCCAGGATTGATTCGATTAAATGATGCTTGATAAAGGAGAGAGTATAGATCTAGAATCGGGAATCGAGCAAGGCAAGAAGCTAAATCGACAAAAGGTAAAGCTCTCTCCTTTAATCGAAACAATGGCTGGGAAACCACTTTCGGGAAAAAAAAGCTGGAATACCAACCGACAATTATGAAAAGACGAAAAAACCAAAGCAAATATCCAACGTCAGATCCGTCTCGATTTATCCGACCCAAGCCCAACAGAGTAACTGATTATTTCGATCGAAAGCCCATCCGACCAAGCCCAACAGAGAGAAAAAACCAAAAAAAACGAAACGGTAACTTCTCCGATTTCACATCTTCTTCTCCAATTTCTCTCCGATTTATTCGATATCTTCTCCTATTTCTTTGATTTCTTCTCGCTTCTCTCCGTCTCAGTCGAATTTCGCAGTGAATCGCACCGCCCTTTTCCAAAGCCGTTGAAAATCTAGGGAATTTTGGAATGGCTCGTGTTAGAAACGCCGAAGGTAAATATGAATCTACGGCGGCGCGTCCGAGAGAGCCAGCGGATTCAAGTACCGTGGTCGACCCTACAGAAGAAACCGGAGAGCAGAGAAAACCAGGGGATGCTGAACTTGGGGATACTTTCAATCGAGATCGAAGAATGGAGGGGAAGAAAGAAGACGCTGCGACGGAGGAGGCGACTGCCGGCGAAATGGATGACTCAACCAAAAAAGAGGAGGAGCATTTCGGGAGTAGACGAAGCAAATGTCTGTCGAACTCTCGATCTTTCGATCCAACAATGGAGGAGAAAAATAAAGCTGCTGCGCCGGAACAAATGTCCGTCAATTTCGAGTTCTCGAGCTCTCTTCTCCGGGGAGAAGCTTCAATAATGTCGGGGGAGAAAAGACACAGAAATTCGAGTTGGATCGAGAAATGAATTCTCGATTTCAATTTTTTTTTTTTTAAATTAAATGAATTAAAAGAAAAGGATTCATTAAAGGTATAAAAGTATAATCCTATTGAGAGGTGGCATACAGACTCTAAAATGGCATGCCTGATTTAATTTTCTGGTTTAGTGACTTTCTTGCCTCTCACTCCCTTTAATCGCCTCTAACCCTAAAACGACATATACGACATAAAGACTTAAAAGAGTAAAGGTAAGGGTCTTCGGGTTTCGGTTTACACTATCGGGTATCGGGTAAAACCCAAACCCGACCCGATACCCACGGGTATGTATACATAAGACCCAACAGTGTAAAACCCCTATACCCGTAGCCGTACCAAACCGGGTTTTTCGGGTCGGTTCCGGTTCGGGTACGCGGGTACGGGTTTTTTGTCTAGGTCTAACTCTTCGTTTAATATTTTTTACATGATCGCATCTTTTTTATCATAATATTTTTAATAATAATATAAATCTTAATAAATGTTTGTAAACGTTATGTCTCTTTTTTTTTTTTCAAACGTTATGTCTCTTTAATATAATTTTCATAAAATATATATTATTTTATTGTTAAGAAGTTATTTTTGAAAATTGTAATTTTTGTTTGATATTTTCTTCTTTAATTTGTTTTTGTAATATGTACCCGCGACATCGCGGAAGGTCGGAGTTCTAGTATAAATAAAAGTATAACCTATGAATAATATTATTATTATTTCTTTTGTGACAGCAGTTTCTAAAATTCTTGCTGAACCTCGTTTAAAATTCCCTCTTTCAAAAAACTTCACCAACAATTAGAACTCTCAACATTTATTAATTAATTTGAAGTCTTGAAGAACAAATTTATTCAGTGGAAGCGATGATTGGATGACGACAATAACCTTCTCACTTAGCTGGAAAATTATTCCTTTGTTTACTCTAGATACTACTTTGACGACAATAACCTTGAAGGAGAGAGAAATACACAAAAAAAAATTACTCTACTCTTGAGTCTTGACGATGAGACTATTGAACGGGGGGTTGAAGGATGAATAATGAACAATAAGAACAATCTCAGTAATTGACAAAAAAAAAAAAAAAACAATCTCAGTATGAGAAAAAAGCAAGGAAAAAAAAGAAGACGAGAAACGTGAAGGAGCTCGTCTTCTTTATCCAAATCATTTGATTTTCCCAGGAAAAATTATCATGAGAAAGTTTCCTTCTGATTTTATATATGCCTACAAGCGTCAATTACCCGATCGCAGATTTCTCGATTTTAGATTTTGGGTTTTGATTGGGTTGATGGTATGAAGGGAGAATTGGGTAATGATACAGTGAAGAAGTCGCCAAGGACAATGGGAACAGAAATGATTGACCATGATAGTAGAGGTCAACTGGTTTCCATGGGGAAGTAGAGAGGGCTGAGCGTATATTTTTCAAGAATGGTAACTTTGCGAGCAAGGAAGACTTTAATTACATGGAACAATTGATCATAGAAGGTTTGACTGTGATCAAGAATAGTGCTGCTCTAAAAGAAGAACTTGAGCCATATGAGGATGTCAACAGAATCTTGTGTGTCTCTAAACCAATTGGATATGCTTGTCTATGAAGTATTTCATTTGTCGAGACCTCCGGAGTTGTTGAGCAACAAGGTGAGTTTGAGGTATTTGAGATTAAAATTTGGTACACGAGAGGAGTGGTTGCCATTGTTTGTTTCTTTATTCTACCTTGAGGACAAGGTAGTTCTTCTCGTGGGGAGTATTGATACGATCTGGTTGGGCTCATTGGGCCCAAGTTGGGCTTTGACTACTTACTTATCGTTAGGCCTTTTATGCTTTGGTATTTTGTAAAAAGATTATCACAGATTTAAGAGAGTGGCTTCTCTAATCAGCCAAATCTTCTCCCTCTTTCTTTCACCTTTAACCCCCATTTCTTCTATTCTTCTCATCTCTTTCTGTTCTCAAGATGAATCCGATCGTGGGTTTATCGGTTGATTCGTTTCTTGTTTGACTTTCAGCGTCATTGGGTCGCAAGTGTGAGACTTTCTTGTGCCACTGGAGATTTAAACTATTAGAGTTTATAAAACAATCTGAATTTTCTCAACGATATATATAGGCAACATGTACAAATATTGTAACATCTAACTAAACGATTCCGTTATATACAATGACTCCGTTAACACTGCTAAGTGCTCTATTTCGTCCTCTGTTTCTGTAAATCTTCATATAGTGTAATATCCCCCTTAAGCTGGCATGAATAAATTGGAAATGCCAAGCTTACTCCGAAGATTGCGAAATAGTCCGTGATATAGAGGTTTAGTAAGAATGTCTGCAATTTGACATTCAGAACGAACATGTACCAACTTGAGAGTTCCCTCTGTGACGCGATCTCAGACAGTATGACAATCCCGATCGATATGCTTCGTATGTTCATGAAACACGGGATTGTTGCCAATATGTATAGCAGCTTGATTGTCACAGTACAGAACAGTCGGCGTTTTGACAGGAACACGCAAATCCTCCAATAAGCTGCGAAGCCAAACAATTTCACAAACTCCAAGGGCCATACTCCTGTACTCAGCCTCCGCAGAAGTACGAGACACAATGTCTTGTTTCTTAGACTTCCACGATATAAGAGAATCACCAAGGAAGACACAGTAACCGGAGACTGACCGGCGAGATTCAAGACAAGTGCTAAAATAAGAATCAACAAAGGCTTTTAATTCCATATTAAGAAGAAATTATCAGTGAGTTCGATAATCGTAACTAACGGTAGATTGAAAAGCCCCGCCGGTACAGTTCTGTTGAGAAGCCCCGCCGGTACAGCCCCACTGGAATCTGTAGTTTATTTTCTAATCGATTCATGGTGAAAGAATAAGAAGCATACCCAGCTATTAAAAGCACTAAAGAGGTGATCCAAAGAACGTATTGGTATGGCTTGTGTTTGGATTTAGCAGACGGTGCAGCATAACCGCGAGGATTATTCCTCTGGTTGAAGTATCCATACTGAGGACGGATCATGAAAACAAAGCCTAGAAGAAACCCGGATGAGAATCCTCCAAGATGGGCAAAGTTGTCTACATGTGGAAGAATACCTACTGCTAAATTAATGGCTATGATGAAGATGAGTGTCAAAAGAGCTGCAAACTGCAAATGGAGAAAACCGACGAGATTTTTAGACACATCATTCATGGAAATGGGGGAAAGTGAGGCTTTTAACTAGGGAAGATTTGGATACCTTATTTGCGTAAATAGTCCAATTAGTGAGAAGCTCTGAAAGCATAGCACCAAGCAAGCCGAATAATGCACCAGAGGCACCAACGGATATGCCAGCCCGGTTAAAGAGAGATGATAACAAACTTCCACCAAATCCAGATATCATATAAAGCAATCCAATGCGTACTGTCAAAGAAAATGAGAATTAGTAAACACAAAAATCAATAAAAGGCAAGTGTTCAGCGTTAACCATACACATTTTGGCACATAAATCAACTCATGAACCAGCAATCTCGCGAAATTTCTAAACTTCCATCATGAGACAGAAAGAGCCAAAACTGAGAGTAACGAATTCATCCTTAATAAAAGATAAAAGGCTGAGAAAAATTAAGATGCATACCAAATCCAAATTCTTGCTCGAGTCGAATACCAATGAAGATAACGCTCAACATGTTGGCAAGAACATGAAAAACCCCAGCATGTAGCCATATACACGTGAACAATCCATGGGGATAAGTCCGGTGAGATGATTATGAGATACATCGAGCTTTATCAGTTTCCCGTTCCGGCCAAGATTCGCCGGTAATTGTAACGTGAAGTTGTTCTCCCACACTTCAAAGACTTCGAGCTTTGGTAAATCTCCGATGATGTCTGGTATTTGTCCGTAGAGTTTGTTCCTGAAGAGATTGATCAGAGTGATGTTTCCAAGATCGATGAAGCTTTGAGGAATTTCTCCGGTTAACTGGTTGATTGATATATCGAGAGATTTCAAGCTCCGGTGGTATATGACCGGTTAAGTTGTTGACATGAAGAAACAGAGTATGTAAATGTTTCAGATTACTTAAACTCGTCGGAATCTCTACGGTGAGAGTACAACTCGCCATGTCGAGGATCTCAAGCTTTGTTAAACCGCCGAACTCCGGTGTAATACCGCCGGTGTAGCTGTTGTAGTAGCCAATATACATTTCTCTTACGTTCTTGAGCCGAGATGGAAACGCCGGAGATTTACCGGAGAGTCCAGCTCTGAGTCCAAGATACTCTAAGCTTTGGATATCTCCATAACTGTCTGGAATCTCTCCGTTGAAGAAATTCCCACCGAGGGAGAGGTGTTTATGCTTCTTAAGCTCTGGAATCTCCAATGGTAACGTACCGGTGAAATCGTTGTTATAAGCGTCAAGAACTTCAAGATCAACCATAGCTTTAACAATCTCTCCAGGGAAGCTTCCATTGTTGGAGATATTCAAAACCTTGAGAGAAGTTAGATTCTTCATCTCCATTGGTAACGCACCGGAGAAATTATTGGCTGCTAAAATTAGATCCACGATTTAACATCCCAATCTCCGGTGAGATAGTACCAAACAAAGGAGTAAAGGAGGCGTTGAGAGAGATAACACGAGCATCGCCGTCACATCTCTGTTTATAAAAGAAATTGAAACCGGATCTGCTAATATAAAATTAGTCTGATTATAAGAAACAATGACGGACGGTGACGGAGATGGTAACGGCAGCGGACGGAGAATAACGGCTGCCGGATAATAGGAGCACAGTGGCGGCGATGAGAGCGACTAGGATTAGGGTTTCTACACAGTGACAGAGATGAGAGCGATCGATGAAGATTGTGTCTACAGAGATGTTGGGACAAAATGAAAAGATAAAACCAGATGGTTAGGATTGTGGTTTATCAGATGGTTAGGACTTAGGATTGTGGTTTGAGACGAGATTTAGTTGGAGATGAGAGAGTGTATTAGTTAGAGGGTAGTTAGGTAATAACATACATAAAGAATGTATTAAAAGTAGGAACTGTGCCAGAATGAAAGATAAGATATAAAAAAGTTTGTTAGAATGTAATTAACTCTATATAAAAGAAGAAGGAAGAGATTTTAAGACCATCTCAATGGAGATGTCTCACCTCGTTTATTGCAATTAAAATAATAAATAAAATAAAATAAAAAGAGAAGAGAGAAGGAGACACGCTTAAACTGCTAGAAATCATGAGATACTTTTAAAAAGTTATTTTGCTAAATATTTTAATTTGATTGGTATAATTTAATTAATTATTTCAAATTTAATCAAAAAATAAAATTATAATAACAATAATATTTTTTATTAATAAAAAAGAAAAGAAAAACAATATATGGAAAGAAGAAACATTTGAATTTTTGAAATAACAAAATATAGAAATAAGAAAAATGTAAAGTATAGATTTCAATATTATTATGCAGCGAATATATTTTTATTTAAAAAATTTCTAATTAAAAAATATAAAAGTACACAAAGTAATTATGACGGTTTGTACTAGACATTAATTAAACTATAAATATTGAACCTCGTCCATACAATTAGTATTCAGTTTCAAACGAATTTACTATTATGCGGCTTTGATTTTTTTTCTCGTGCTACAAATATTGTTTTATTTATTTCTTTATGAACGATAAACAAAATTGTTTAATTTTGCTGATTTTAGACAGTTTGATCTGTATTTCAGGTTACACTAATGAATCAAGTCTAGGTTCATTCAACTGTGACTTTTAAAGCAATTACAAGGTATTATTAAAATTTAAGTAGCTTTCAAATTGTTTCCTTGTGTGAATATTGTTAATTTCTTTATGTTAAATATATGCATGAAAAGTGGAAAGCAAAGAAACCTAATAAAAAAGTTAGAAGAATTATATAGTGAAAAAAGAAGAAGAGAAGCAAAAAAGTAATTCTTAAAAAAAGAAAAATGTTAATAATACATTAAAAACATATGTAAAAAAGAAAAATGTAAAAATTTTGTTATTAGAATATATAAAATAAAATCATTATTAGTCTCACCAAATTTGTCAATATCCTTTTTAATCACAATTAGGGGTCGGTATTTTAGTTTTCTGTCGAGTTAAATTTGATTCGGTTATTTCGATTTTAATAAAAGATCAAATCTCTAATCAAACTCAATTTGGTTCATTTTAATTCGGTTTGGCTTGATTCGGTTTGGCTTAATTCAGTTTGTTATTTAAAATAAATTATTTATAAAATTGAAAGAATTGCAATAAATTGAAGCAAGAAAAATAGAAATTTTATAATTGGGATAAATAAATAAAAAATTTGAATAGAATAGTCAATCAAGAGGTATGTGAAAAAATGAAAAAAGGTATACAATATCTACATGTAACATGTGTAAGTTTATTCGTTTTTTTCATTTAAATGTTGATTGGTAATTTTTCATGTTTCAAGATGGATGTTCGGATATTAAATCATTTTAATCACAAAAATTTTGAAGTGTTTTTTATATACTTGAGTAAAATATGACACATTATATTTGTAATATGTTTTATACTAACTTTGTACTATAAGCTTTTCTTTTATTAAAACAAATTTTTAACTAACATAAATGATACTAAAAATATAAATAAAACAACATTTATGCTAAAAAGAATTTTTAAAATGAAACATTAATGTGAATAATTGATTACTAAGCCTAAAAGCATATTTAAACAATCAGTAAAGTAAACCCCCCACGTAGTGGAGGTTATAACTTAGTATATTTATATATAAAAAATCAATCCCAATTTACACCGTGCAAGGCATATATATATGAAAATTAACATGTAAACTAACAACTCATTGATTTTAAATTTTACCTAACTTACGAGCAAATAAGTATTCCAATTTTGAGGTTTCATAACATTATTCTCTTTGCATTTCTCCACTCCAGCAATTAATACTCAATTATAAGAAGCCATCAATACAATAATAACAATAAGGATCTCTCCAGGTCTGACACCTCAGCTTTTTGGGATGTTCTCAGGTTGACACGTCATTAAAATCGTCGTCCAATGAAAACATTTTAAATAATACAACTCAGCATTTTCATCCAGTAAAAATCCTTCTCTGTTCCACATCATTTTTCTTATTTCATTATTTTGGGCTTTTCTTATTCAGAAGTGAGCTTATTCTCATTCTGAAGTTGGCTTTATTGTATTTTTTATTTCAGTCGTCCTCTCACGGTCTCACGTACATCTTCATTTTTTTCTCGATTTCGATTATTCACAAGATAACGAAGACGAAGGGCGATCCGATCAATCCTTAGGTCCAGTTCGTCTAAGTCCATAAATTTTTTGTGAGTTTGTTTTTCATATCAATTCGATAAAAGCTCCAATATGTCGCCACTTTTGATTGTTCTCTAATAGCCTCTGTAAGAATCTTTGGAATACATAATAATTGTATCTTCCACCTTCTGTTTAACTAAATACATAGTAATTGGTCGGTTGGCTAGAAACATCAATGGAGCTAAATAGCAACGTGTGAAATTCCATTGCATGTAGGCCATTGAATTTAAGGTCATTGTACACTACTCTGTAATTGAAGGCTAAATTTGTATGAATTGACCCATGCTTTGTGATTGTTATTTAGTAATTCTAAATTTTAAGGAAACAATCTCAAGCAATGCACCAAACCTCTTGTAATTATGGAGTGTTTGTGATTTTCTTGTTGATTTTGATTAACATCATCGTTTTGGTCCTTCTGGATTGGTGCAGTTGAATTGTACTGTGATAATCTTTTTTAGAACACTAAGTTTGATTGATGGTGAAAATGTTTGTAGGTGGTGAGTAAGATGTTTGGAGGATCATTGTTTCAATGTACGGACGAATAATAAAAGTGTTTTCCTTCACCTGAATCACTTAAGATTAAGATCTTAATCTCAACAAAGCCACCAAAAGAGTATCTTCAGACCCAAATCTCTCAAGGTTCAACAACGGATGAATCCATTAGAGCTAAAGTAAGAAAGAAAAAACAGAGTTAAAGTAACCATTAATGTGTCTTGATTTTTTTTCAGAGTCTTGTGTTGTGAGAGATGCAGAAGAACAGGTTCAAGAAAAAGATGTGGAGAGTGCACCGATCGAATACAAAGACTTTATCTCGATTCACGCTGGGAACCACAAAGGAGGGTTGAAGAAATGCTTGAATGGAGATCCTAACCGAGACATACGGTTAAGCATGAGTGAGCAGTGGCTTAAGACTTTGGCTAAAACTCGTGGACCTGATTTAGTAAAGTTCACGCAGTGGAATCTTTTGAGGATATATCCCAAGACAACACGGTTCGACTCGTATAACTATGATCCTCTCGTTGGATCGATTCATGGTGCTCAAATGGTTGCCTTCAATATGCAAGTAATAATTTTAAGTTTTAACACTATCCTCTCTATCATAAGCAGAAATTTTCAATAGGTTATGAAGCATTGAGTTAAGTTCATTATTGCACACGACATAACTAAAGTAATCTTGTCTCTCTCTGGAGTTCTAGGCTGAGAAAATGTTGTGATTTTTTGTTGAACTTGAAGATAGAATAATGTACTTGGAGAATGTTTTGCAATTCTTAATTTCAAGGAAACAATTTCAAGCATTGCACCAAAACTCTTGTCATTGTTTTATTAATTGGAAGTATACTCCTTTTGACATTTGAGACATAGCTTAACTTAGAATCAGTTCAATATTTTTTCTCTCTGCAAAGAAAGCTAAAATTCTGCTATGTGAATTTTGTTGAAGTTCAAGATATGAAAAGATAATGGAAGTTTAATACAAAGTCCACTTGTGCTATAACCTGTAAGTAGTGTTTAGTGATTCTGAAATTCTAAGGAATTGGTTCAAGTATGGTGTATCACTAAATATATGTTTAAAAAAATATATATATGTCTACATAAGAAAACAAAATTAACTTAAAACATAATGTATTTAGTTTTTTGGATCTTTGCAAAGTACGTCGTTGAGAAAGATCTTTGGTGAGATGAAGGAGAAAGAGAGAAATACTATATTTTTGGAGTGGGTCCGAGTCAGAATAAACCGACCCATTAGAAGTGTATAAAAGAAACAACAACTTTCATTGTAGTAAACAAAAAAAAAAAGTTTCATAGTGGTGCTGCAAAAATTTAATTTGAGAAAAAGTTATTAGTAATAAAAATAATTTACAAACAATATCCCGCGGCATAGCGCGGGTTTTATACCTAGTTCATTCAATGACTCCACTCCAGCTCTCTTCTGCAAACCGTGTGCCATCTGAACACGGTTAGTTTTTGTTGTTGTTTTATTATACACAATATTTAATTAGTTACCGAATGTTAACTATAATTTTAATTAGTGGAAAAAATATTACGTAAGTTATTCTAATAGTCTTATCTCTTATATAAACTGGAAACTGGTTCACGTTTTTGTTTTGTTTGAAACTGGAAAACAACCATATATATAAAAAAAATCCTAATAGTCTTATCTCTTATATATTAATTGAGAAATATTATTACAATAAAACCTTGTCCATACGTGTGATTAGCCAAAATACCATGTTAACGTCTCGCTTTTGAATAGCTCGTCTGCCCATTTAATTAATTCCCCAATATTTATTAAAAATAATTATGATATTTTGCCATTGGTGTTTCTTCAACACATTTTAATCAAATATATTTTGAAATTACTATTAGCAAAATCAATTAATAACAAGGCATATATAAAAGATATATATACTATGAAGGCAATTTCAAAATATAGAATTTTGTTAATGGAGCAACATTTGTAATATATGTATTGTCATTTTAAGATATACAGGAAAATTCTTATATTTTTTTACTTAACTAAACATATAGATTAGATATAAATAGGTTTAGCTCATATCTGTGTTGAAAATCGGCCTGGAAGAAAAAAAACTGGACTAATTTTTACACATTGTGGGCCTTAATTGCTCAAGGCCTCATTTATTGATTTACAGCTTAAACATCTATTTATAAAAGATATATCTATACTATTAATTGGGAAGCACTCAAACATAAATAACCTTATAAAGTGTAAAGTATTACAAAAATGCCATTGTTTTTTGTTTTTAAATAATATATTTAAATAAAAAATAGTAAAATTCTTTAAAGTAATTATTAGTTTCCAAAAAATTAAACTTACTTTATCTCTCATATTAATTATGGACGAAAATTAAAAAATATTTTCTAAAAATTTGTTAACCAATGAGAATTGAAAAAATAAGATTTGATATCCAACTAAAATTTTATCTAAACCAATCCTAATAAACTATTCTATATCAAAAATAAAAAGAAAAATAATACCATTGTAATTCAAAATAAAAAACACTATCGTTTAAAAAGTTTTATCAATTGAGGATTTTAATATTGAATTTGAAATTTTATAAAAGAATTAAATACAAATATTTATGACTCAGTTTTGTTATAATATTTTCACAAATTTTGAAATATAAAACAAAATTTTATTTCACAATTTCTAAAAAAACGATATTAGATATTAACAAATATTTATATTTACTATGAAATAAACTCAAATAATGATATGTAATTATCGTTATGGCCTTCGTTTAGAGAAAGTTTCGGAAATATCTAAACAAAAGATTGTACATATTAATTTCGAAATATATTGTGTTTTTTGTTTCTCAACCAGATCTTCTTTAAACAAATCCATAATATATTGCACACAGTTTTTGAAATAATGTGAACTAATTATATATATTTTGCATTCAAAACAAATTATGCAGCAATAGCATATCCCTTTTATACATGTATCTCAAATTTAAATTTTAGTCCCAAAAATCGAATTAATTATGATTAAACAATGAAAAGAAAAATATGCAAAATTTAGCTAGAAACATTAATAAATTTGTTTAAATATATTTATAACTTTAACAGTATACATATTAATCCGCAAAACTCACAATATATATTGTAATATTGTATGGTATTTAAAAGTAAGCAAACAAGAATTTGGAATATGATTTTAATGGAATAAAATGGAAATAGAAATTACGAGACGAGATGGGAGGGGAACATATATTAAAATTTAACTAAATACCCAACTGGCATGAGTTCGGGTTATGAGCACTATATAAAATAAATTTGTTTACACACGTAACACTGTACATACGTTTTCAGTTACACATACTATATTTATGACAGATATGGGACCATAATATTTTTATTTTACGTATACGTGACAGATTATGGGACAAAGAATTTATGACAGATACCGGACGGGATATTTTCATGTTCCAAAATAGTTACTCCTAGCTAATATACATGAAATAACCCAAACTAAAACCGAATTCATATCCTATTTAACATATGTAATCAAACTGTTAGAACTATTTTAATTAGTTAAGAAAATAAAAATGTAACACCACTTAACTTGTGCAACTAAATTAGTCCGGATCTTAAAATATAATTATGTATTAACGCAACTGAATTTTGTTCATTACTCTAACTTTATAATATTTATACTATTACGAAGTTCACTAACACAACAAATATTTTATATTTTTAAAATCTCTATAAAATTTTCTATAAAAATATCTCTACACGTATGTGGATCCAGATCTAATACACTAAAATATATATATCATAAAAAGTTAAAAACAACAAAATAATCTATACTGAATTAAAATTTGTTAGAAATTTTTTAAAATATGAAACCCCGCACGTATGTGCGGGTCATGATCTAGTATACTATTAAGGCAATTTCAAAACATCTACTATTTATAAGACAAGTTTCCAAAAGCTTTTACTCTCCAAACCAATGTGGGACTTTTAGTGGTTTTAGTTGCTTCCTTTTGTCTTTTGCTTCTAACAATAACGTTATTTCTCCAACAACCATATTATTTTTTATTTATATTATTTATTTTGTGTGCATAACTTTTTACTTTCATCTAATTTTTATTTTGTAATAATAATAAAAGAAATATCATGGTAGTAACTAAGTATAACTTAGATATTTAAAATTTTGCTAACAAAACTAGTAAATTTTGAGTAGAGTCTCTTCAAACTACATTGAACATACCAATATTTTAGTAAATTTTGCATAAATGTTATATATATATATGATAAAAATATCAAAAAACTAATCCCGATTAATCTCCGATTTTTCAGCTAGGCTCTAGGCCCTCCCGAACGCCCGATTAACGCCTAGCGATTTTTTAAACAAGGACTCATATAAGGGATATCTAAAATATTTATATACCTATATTTTTCATCGAAATTCATCTAATGTCTAATGGTTAATAGTTTTGAATCTCCCCCTATTATGGAAGCAGTTCACACTTGAAATTTGAAAAAAATATTAACAAGGGTGACTATGATAGATATCCTATAATAAATATTAACAGTTCATAACAGAAAATTCAAACAAATATATACGTCCAAATTATTTAAAAGTTATATTTAGAAGCATAAAAGTTGTAGGAGTTGTATACATATTATTTTCATATTTCTAATATAAATATATATAGAGTTTGAACATATATGTCAGTGCATTTTTTTTATAAATCATCAAAAATCACCATAAATACATAAATGTGCTGATTAATAATCAAATAATTAAATTTTATTTTGTTGTTTTTAGACCTTTTAGACATCGTGGTGGATATCCAGAGTCCACCACGATGTATGATTTGTCTGGATGGGGGAGATCTTATCGACCTCGGTTGTTCATGTCGGGGGGAAATGTCTATTGTACATAAAAAATGTGCAGAGACATGGTTCACACAGAAAAATACCAGGTAAATTATAATATAATATATCCCATATATATGTATATATATAAATATTAAAAAAATATCATCAATTAGACAATTATTTATTGGATATATGAATTACAGGATTTGCGAGATTTGCAGCACTGAAGCTGCAAATATTCAGGACTTTGTCACAATCCGATGTAGGCCTCCTCGACGGTTGTTACTTTTTATTTTTTCTGTTTTTGCTATTTTTCTGTTTATTGGTTTAAGTTTTCTTATGTTGTTCTATTTCGATATTTGGGGTTTTGATTAATGTTGTATTTTGACTAAGTGTTGTCGTTTTTGTTAAATGGTTGTATCTAAGGAAGGTTTCCCATTAGGGCTTCTATCACTTTTAATCATCAAATCAACAATAATTTCTATTATTCTCTTAAACCCTCTCGCAGCAAACGGCGCATCTCACTCTCTCTCCCTCCATTGCTCCTAGTTCTCTACTCACGGTAAGCTCAGGCTTATTAGTAACATAAATTAATAACTGTATAAATTTTCAACATAAATATATATATATATATATATGTATATATATATAAAATTTTGAGAATTATGGCTCTAGTACTATTTGTTTTTCTTAAATTTACATTAATTCTTGGTAAAGATGATTTCTATTATTTTTGATGCATCGAAAACTTTTTGAATCGTTTTCTAGAAAAAATTATTATTTTTAACTTGTAGTTGGTTCTACAAAAATATTGTTTATTACAAAAAAATAAATTTTTTTCAAATGTAATTTTTAAAAAATTATAAAATTAGTCAAATATCACTATAACTTAATAATTTAATTTATCGATAAACTAATATATTTAGAAATTAATAGAATTTTACGATCCTAACATTAATAATTTATAGAGATTTTACTGTACTTAAATAAAATTTTGAAAAATTACAAATTGTCGAAGGTGCAACTAAAGAACTTTTAATCGAATCCGAGACAAAACGACATCGTATTGGCGTCCGTGCTACGTCCAGGACAATTGTCTCCTCTCCGCAGTCTAATAAGAAGGAAAAAAGATTCCACGCCAAAAAAAAAAAAAAAAGCCAGATAGGTTGATGAAGAATAGAGAAGAATCCTCCATGTTTGATCATCATTACTCTTGATTTCAAATCTCTACGATCTTGTGTCCAGCTTCACTTCTGCAATTCTAGCATCTCGATTTCATCTCAGTAGCTAGGGTTTGTTTTCAAGAAATTTGAAATTGAGAAAGCTCAAATTGGATCGAATTTCGTTGGAATTAGTCTCCAATTTCGGCGTTATTCTCAGTGGGAAGAAGAATTGAAGACGAAGATGAAGGCGATGGAGACTATACAGGATCTGATCGAAGAAGCTAAAGTAAGGGCCGTATGGTGGGCCTTGTGCATCTTCTCCGTCACCTATTTCTTGTCTCGTATGTCAATTTTCAACCTTTTCTCTTCGATTTTGCTGTTTCAGTTTCGACTTCCTAATTTTAGATAACAATGGTATTAGTCTAGAGTAATTGCTTACTCTGTTCTTAGCTTCTTTGTTTGGAATCAAAGTTTAATCTTTGTTATATACATTGTTTCTCTATATCTTATGGTGTTGGTGTTAAGATAATGTTTTTGTTGGACTATGTTTATATGCTAAATCTCTGCCTTTTTTCCTTGTTTGGGATTCTTTTGTGGTTTCATGCAGATACAAGTAAGAATATGCTGATGAATTTGCCAATCGCAATCGTTGGTCTTGTCGGTGTGCGGATTTTTCTTAATCAGGTTGAGTTCACATGGAAAGTTGGGCCGATTCCTAGAAAAAGTCAGTTGTCTTATCTTGAGAAGAAGCAGTTGTCTGTGAATGATGCTCGTCTTTCTGGTATCCCACCTCCTCCAAGGTGGAAGAAGAAAATCGACTCTCCTGTAGTGGAAGCTGCGATTAATGATTTTATTGACAAGATCCTTAATGATTTCGTGGTGAATTTGTGGTATTCTTTGATTACTCCTGATAAAGAAGCGCCTGAACTGATACGTGCAGTAATCATGGATGCTCTTGGTGAAATTTCAGTAAGGGTAAAAGAGATCAATATTGTTGACTTGCTAACGAGGTAGCGTTCTTTATTTCTCTTCCCTTACGTCAGTAAAACTCTGGCATTACACCAGACATAGCCTCGATTTTTGATTGGATCATTACTGATTGATAATGAAATCAATGCCTGATTGTGTAGGGATATAGTTGATCTGATAGGTGATCATTTGGAAAGTTTTAGAAGAAACCAAGCTGCTATAGGTATAGATGTTATGAAGACATTGTCATCTGAGGAGAGAGATGAAAGATTGAAATACCATCTTATGGCTTCTGGGGAACTCTATCCTGCACTCGTGTCACCTGAGAGTGAGTACAAGGTATGAGGGATAGTTCTGATGAAAATTACGCTGCCCTCTTAATTTGGTTACTCTATACATATATGCTCTTTGTTTTTTTAACAGGTTCTTCAGAAAATAGTTGCTGGCATATTATCTGTGGTTCTCAGACCACGAGAAGCTCAGTGCCCTCTTGTTCGAACAATAGCTAGAGAGATTGTTACTTCCTTGGTAATTCAACCTCTTTTGAATTTAGCATGCCCCGAGTAAGTTCTCTACATATCGCTGTCTTCTAGAAAATTATTTTTGGTTTCAAAATCTACCTTTCAGTTTTTTCCTTGGCCGATGTGTATACTGCAAACTAGCTAGGAACAAGTATTGATTCCAGAATTTCTATTGATAAAATCTAATGTATAAAAAGAATAACTGCAGATAAATGTATCATTTTTCCTGGGTTCTCTTCAGTGCTTGCCATTTACTTCAAACACTGCCTTTCATTTTTCTAAGGCAGAGATGCTAATATTTTTTTTCTTTTCTGCCCCAGGCGTATCAATGAGGTGATTGAGATCGTTATCAATCTTATTAAAGAGGGAAACTTTGAGCAGTTTACTGGGGAAGAGCAGAATGTCAATTCTGCCCCATTGTCAGCCTTCGATAGTCAAGCAAAAAGTATGAATTTGACAAAAGCTATTGAACAGAAATCACCAAACATAAATGACAGACACCCAGATCTACACGTTCAACAGCACTCTGCTGATTGGGCTCGGTTGCTAGAGGTTGCGACTCAAAGGAGAACAGAGGTTCTTACTCCTGAAAACCTTGAAAACATGTGGACGAAAGGAAGGAATTATCAAAAGAAGGAGTACAAAAAATCTCTGAAAAAGGGTTCTTCAACTGGAGCAAAGGAAAATGCAGTGGCGCAGTTACCCCCTAAAGTGAGCATTGATAAGCAGTCACAAGCACAGATGACTGAGGAATTTAGTACATCATCTTTACATGATGGAGGGCACCAGATTTATGAGGCTGATGTTAGAAAGGAATCTCGTTCAGATGGGAATAAAAATAGGCTTAAAAGATCCAATAGTACATCAGATCTTAATCTACGTCCTGAAACGAGTCTAGCACTATTAGGAGTCAGTGAGGGGCCTCTAATCACAGAATTCTATACCACAGATTTTATCAAGCACAATGATAACTACATTAGTGATAATAAATCCCAAAGCATTGTTCTTCACAAAGAGGGTCAACACTGCCTAAAGCTCAAATGTCGAGTAAGCTCCTGTCTTAATATTTACTGTTTCTTTAATTTTTTTGTTTCTGTGACACATCCACTTGACCTTTTCCATTTTCCTGTGTATGAGTGTGTGTGTGTGTGTGTGTTTTGCAAATAATTATGCTATTAGCTTAAGATTATTATTTCTTATGTCTTTGTGTGGCTGCAGGTTCTTGGAGCTTATTTTGAGAAGCAAGGATCAAAATCATTTGCAGTATATTCTATTGCGGTGACAGATGTGGAAAATAAAACTTGGTTTGTTAAGAGAAGGTTATTTTCTTAGCATTCTGATTACGGGAAAATCATATCAGTACATCATTGAAATTCTTTACTCATGTCACTAGCTTTTGATATATATTTCCATCGTAAAAGGCAGAAGATAGCTGCAACTTGATCTTAAAATATTTATTTGTTTCCCTTCAGATACAGTAATTTCGAGCGATTACATCGTCAACTCAAAGAAATCCCGAACTACAATTTACAGTTGCCTCCCAAGCGTATTTTCTCATCAAGCACCGAAGATGCTTTTGTTCATCGCCGCTGTATTCAGTTGGACAAGTATCTACAAGTATTATTCATCCCCTTAGCAACTTTAAAAACATAGTTACCATCAACATTCTCTTATAAGGAACATTTTTTCCTTGTCTGCAGGATCTCTTGTGTATAGCTAATGTTGCTGAACAGCATGAAGTTTGGGATTTTCTAAGCGCAGCCTCTAAGGTGTGGATCTGATTAAGTACCGCCGACAAATTTCATTACTTTCTATTTTCATTAGGTGGATGTGTTCTAATGATTGTCTTTTTTTGTTCTGTAGAATTATTCTTTTGGAAAGTCTTCGTCAGTGATGAAAACTCTTGCAGGTATTGTTCGCTGCTGTTTTAGTAACATGTATGTAGCTGTATATAAAAGTCAGCCCTTGCTTTCTATTCCATTAATAAATTATTTTTAATCCATCCTGTTTTATGCTAAAAAACTGAATTCTAGGGAAAACGATCAGAATGAAGAGAGAAGTGTACATTATGTTATGTGGTTGCTTTACTTTTCCGTTTTACTAAATTTTGTTCTTGGAATTGAGCAGTTAATGTTGATGATGCCATGGACGATATTGTACGTAGTTTCAAAGGTGTCTCAGGTGGCCTTATGCGGAAGGTTGTAGGATCCCCACTAGAAGAGCATGATCATGCTCCTGCCCGCCACCTCTCCTGGAGTGTAAATGAAATAAGCACTCAGCTCTCTAGGGAAAGCGCAACTGAGTCTATGCACAGCAGCATTTCTGATACTGAAGACATCGACAAACTTGGAGAGAACACCCAAGGGGAAGGTAGATTTGATTCAGAAGCCAATGGGTGGCACTCAGATAATGAATTGGACTCTAAGTATTTTCCACCGAGAGTGGTTAGACGTCTTGGAGAGCCTGAGAGTTCACCCTCGGAGAAGGAAAATGATTTTAAGGCAAAGTCTCAAGTTAGGGGGTTCACTGATTTGCAGCATGCTGATCCATTGACAGCTTTAGTCCACAATCCCCATGGCATGCCACCCGAGGTACACCATATACCCCTAAAGTTTTATATACATTGATTAGACTTTGTCATTAGGCTTATGTATGTTCCCTGGCTAAAATTTCATGAGTACATGCACTATCTTTCACGCACCTGAAAAATTGAATTATACTTAATGATACATTCCCCAAAGAGATTTTAGCCTACTTTTTTGGAATCTTCTACTTTTGATTAACGTCATTCTTATTCTCTGCTTTTCATTACAGTGGATGCCGCCCAATGTCAGTGTGCCAATTTTGAACTTAGTTGATAAAGTGTTTCAGTTAAATAGAAGAGGTTGGTTAAGGTGAGAACAAGTAGTTATTCTTTCTGATTTTATTTGTCTTCGATCATGCTATTCTATTTGATTAGGTTCCGTTTACGAATAATCTTAATATGGTGTCATTATAGGAGGCAAGTTTTCTGGATATCAAAGCAAATATTACAGTTAGTTATGGAAGATGCTGTGGATGACTTGCTCCTGAGGGAGATATGTTGGCTGCGGAATGAAGACACAGTCGCTCAAGGAATTCGTTGGGCTCAAGATGTAAGAATTGGGGTTTCTCTGATCTTGTTCAGAAGTTAACTGAATCTTCTTCTGTACTCTTAGGGACCCTGCCATCATGTTAGATCATTCGCTGAAATCTATTATAACTCATATAGAAAAGTCGGGGATCAGTAAGGGAAATCATTATGCCATATATTTTTAGTTTACTTTGATTGTTGCAGGTAGGCAGAGCAAATAATAGTACTAGTAAAGTGATCGCTCTTTTTGTTGCTTACAATCTTATTTGCATTTTCTCTCCAGATTCTATGGCCAAATGGTGTATTCTTTACCAGAGTGAATGACAGTCAAGAGGAATTGGATGAGACCGACCCTAGTGAAAAAACTTTTCAAATAGCAGGCCAACTTGGTGGCATGAAGGTGGCTAAACCCAGTTCCTTTGAGCAGCAACTTGAGGCTGCACGTAGAGCTAGTGAAATAAAAAAATTCCTTTTCGGTGAGTATCTAAGGCTCCCTTCAATTGACGTATTGAGTTAGTTTAGTCTCAGTGGAAGTAACATTTTGGTGTTTGATCAGATGGCGCCCCAACAGCCTTAGTGAGCTTGGTAGGGCACAAGCAGTACAGGAGATGTGCGAGAGACATTTTCTATTTCACTCAGGTTAGGATTCCTCTGTCGCACATTTAAAAGCTTTTTTTCGTTTTTGGTGTCAAGGGTTTAACTAAGTTGTTGCATCATCATCCATCGTTATGGTCTGACTAATACTTGACACATAAATCATCTACCGCAGTCAAACGTATGCATAAAGCAACTCACATTTGCAATACTAGAGCTGCTACTCCGATCGGTATTCCCCGAGCTGCAAGATCTTCTAAGAGACATAAGGGAGAATCCGCACGGTCGGTCAGAGTAATAACACATGTTTATATGGAGGAGGTAGCCTATGATTGACTTGAACCAGTTTTATCTTTCTCTATGTTAATTTTTGATCTTTTTGTTTCTTGGGGATTTTTTTGGGGGTCCTTCTTAATATTCTTCATGTGTATAAAAAACAAGTGCTGGTATCAATCTGTGAGGGTTTTGAATACAACAATGACAAAAGGGTTCTGTATATAAAACCTCGTGTGGAAAATAGTTCATTGAAATGTAGTTTTTGTTTGCAAACATGGAAAAATTACTTGGAAGGTCAGTTATTTGCTTCATCATTGTAACTTGTTGCGAGGAAATGAAAGTTCAAAACCTATTTGGGAACCTCAATTACATAGTACCTGCATTACACTTTTTCTCTCTTACAGCAGCCCACCACTCAGAGAATCTACAGCATTTGCGTAGAGGTCAGTAAGCGAGTACTGCCTCAGATTGTTTACCTCGTACCAAGTGTTCAATGACTCGAGGTTCTTGTCTGTTCCCGAAAACGCCACCTGAATTCCAATGTTGCAGTTAGCTTCACCTCCATTAGCCTTGCACTTTGATGTTGGAACCGCGCAATCCGTCCCATTCAGACACACAGAAGAAGAAGATCCTATTCCTTTGCACGAATCGCATCCGAAGCTCTTCCAGAACAGATTCTGCAACACTCCTTTCTGAAATTCCAATACCTGCAATGCAGTTGCCAATTCAGCGATTCAATACTACTCTATTACTGTATGTTATGTTGTTTGTTTGTTTCCAAAGGGGCTTAGGGTTATTCATTACCAGTGTGAAAGCTGTGATTGTGTTGCTTCCATCTGCGACCTTCACAGGATAAGATCTTGCTGCGTATTTTGAGCCTGCGAATCCCACCATGAATCCTCCTGCTTTACTCTTCTCACATGACACACATCCCACAAAAAGATGGCATTCATAAGCTTTTCTTTATTCTTTGTGATTTTGTTCCACTTGAGATTTTATATATAGTGTAAGACTTACCGGGTTAAACTTACTTGTGTCGATGGAGAGAAGAGAGATCTCGTCAACCTTTGGTCTAAAAAGCGCGAGCTGCGCCATTTTCCCAGCTAAACCAAGACGAGAATCACAAGGAGAAAGCTGGACTTGGTCAAGAAAGAAAGCTTCTTTGCTGGAGATGGCAATACCAATGGTGAAACCATCTCCTTTGCTTATTTGAGTGTCTGAACATGGACTGTACACCGGGTTATTATCCGATGCTACAACCCAATCATCCACCATCATCATCATCATCACAATCATCATGATGGTTGTAAAATTCACCATTCTTAGCTATTGAGAACCTCGTACCTTTGGTTTCTTCTTCCCCAAGAAAACCCTATGAACACAATTCATCACCAATGGATAAACAACGGTATAATGGTTTTATACAATAATTAGCTTTGATAGACGACGTACCTTCGAAATACAGAATTTATATATCAATTTTTGAATCCGATCTTATGAAGAACCGATCGGAAAGAGGATGAAATTCTTTCTAAGGTGATCTTTTTTCTGGGTTTAGGATCCTTCAAAAGGAAATGAAATTATGGAGTTAAGACGCGCCAAACGGTTACTTCGGCTGTAAAATTGGATCTCTATCTCCCAAATTAGTCAATTCTTAAAAACCAAAAAAAGTAATTGGTGACAGTAAATTAATCATATAGACTGAATTGATTACATTGGTTATATGAAAAATGGAAATCATGTAAGCACGACAATGTCTTGATAAATATTTGATTCCTTGTTATCTATGTGTAAAGTTTACTAATTGTAACGTTCTGTCATGATGGTGAAAGGGTGAAACTTTGTTCCTAAACAAAGATTTTATGAGCTTGATGGGCTTGAAACACGTCTCTTACTTAGCTTTGGATCTGAAGAGTAGTCTTCTTGTCAAAGAACGTATTGTAGCAGTAGAAACCTTTTTAAAACCAAAACAGAGCGTACTCTAAATAATCAATCGGACCTAAATGGGGAAGAAAACATCAAAAATTCGGTATTAATAACCATAAACGACCAGTAACAAACACATCTATTTCCTTGTTTAACTCTCTCTCTATATGTGGTTAATGTAAAACTCTGAAGGATGGTGACAAACTTTCAAAATGCTTTCCAAAACTCTGCACAACAGATTAATCTCTTTTGCGGTGGTTGTTGAATAATCTTCTATAATCAATTCCATGACTATCCTGCAAAGAAGCAACATATTCTCACATAAGTAATCCGAAAAAAGCACCAGAAGTAACCCTACAATTGGGTTTAAGATGTTTTCTTCGTGATTGCAGGTTGGCTTCTTATCAGTCATTGCAAATACTTCATTCTCTACATATCGTTAACAACACTAAAAGCTTATATTGTTTTGGATCTTAACTCGAGGACAAAACTAATATCGCTCTTCCAACGTTGAGTACAATTCTGATATCGGTAACATCCAACAAGTCGTATTGAGAAGAGTAACAAATATTCAAGAGAAGCAAGTAAACTTCTTATCCTAGATCATGTTTTTGACTTTCATAACATGGTCTAAATGTCAAAATCTAGGAGAGAGCTCACGGCCATAACTTTTAACACCCAGATTTCATAAATTTCTACTTACAGATGGATCCTCTCAATGAGTTAATACCCGGATAAATATTCATACAAGTAAATAGCTTTATATTCATTCTTCAAGATCAATACACAAGAATGACTAAAGTACCAGTACAAACTCAAACATGAAACATATGGCAATCATATATCTATCAAAAGCTTAAACAATTGACACCAAAACCAGTACCAGCTCAAGCATGAAACATAATATGTAAACAATCCAATAAAGCTTAGACTACTGCCACCAAAACCATCTCAAACAGAGCCAACCAGAAAGTATTTAAGAGAATGACATAGCTTTTCATGAATTAAGCTCCAATACTACAATCACACAATCCAGTTTCTTATTGTATCCAATCAAAATCAGAGATTTACCTCAGGCGACGGCAACAGGCTGACGAGTTTTAGGTTCGTTATTCTTCTTAGTATCGTTTTGAAAATCCTCCATATTGTAGATGACAGTGATATAAAGCGAACAACTTGGGCAATTCGCGATCTCTTCGCCGAGCCGGAGATCTTCTTTCGTAATCTGAAACAAATCGCCACAAGGACAAGGATACGTGTACGCTTGAATCTCTTCGTTCCACTCCATATCCTCTATCTCAACATCGTCGTACGACATCGTTTACCCTCGCCGGAACTCGAAAAAGTAAACTGTTTTTTTCTTTCTTCTCCGGCAGAAAATTAGGGCACAAAGTAATAAGCTCCGCCGCCGCTGCGTTAAATGTGTGTATTATATGGGAAAGTTGAGAGACGAGAGTTATGTACATTTTATAATATTTGCGTTTAAGTCCAAATTAGTTGACATTTTCACGATTTTGTCCATATACTTTTCTTTTGTTCTTACAAATAAGAAAACAACCAAACAGTTTCCGAAGAAAAAAAAAAAGTGATGCAAATCCGGCCACAGTCATCGTCGCCGTCACAATCACCACCGTCTCCGAAGCTTCAATCGACTTGATGATGCAAAGCTTCCACCATCAGCAGCAGCAGCTGATTTCGCTGCTCTCGTCGGCTTTACCAACTGACGCCTCCGCTTCTCCTCTACCCTCCACGCTTACTCCTCCGTCCTCAGAATCCGTCTCTTCATCGGCGACTGGTAACAATGCGTCAGTTACGACGGGACAAAGAGATGGTAAGTTAGAAAATAGCAGCGATTCAGGGCGTCTCGCTGCCTTGAAGTCGCTTCACAGAGCAATTAAGTATCCTCCGAATTCGCTTCTTATTGCTCATTCAGCTTCGTATCTTTCTTCTGGTCTCTGGCAGCTTCTCTCTGACAAGTAATTATCTCTGAATCACAAATTTTATTTGAGAATTGATGTGAGATATAGGTTTTTTTTTGGGAGTCTGAAGTTTGATGTTTGATTTGTGTGCAGGTCTTATGATGTGAGGCAAGCTGGTGTGTCTGCATATGGTGCTCTTTGTGCTGTTGTTTGCTCTATTCCTGTAGAATCTAGTGGAAGGCAAAACCATGTGATGCTAGGGAGTCTTGTTGATCGTTTTATTAATTGGGCTTTACCGTTGCTTAGGCATGTTAGTGTTCGGGATGGGAGTACGGTACTTGCTGTTGAAGGTGTACGTGAGTTTGTTTCTGTTGGGGATGTTAATGGGATTGATAGGTATGCTTTGCCAATTCTTAATGCGTGCAAAGGACTTCTTGAAGATGAGAGAACTTCTATTCCTTTGTTGAATCAGGTTTTGGGTGTTCTTTCGTTGATATCGTCGAAGTTTTCTAGTTTGTTTCATCCTCATTTTCTTGATATTGTTGATATGTTGCTTGGTTGGGCATTAGTACAAGACCACGCTGACTCTGACAGACAGATTGTCATGGATAGCTTCTTGCACTTTCAGAAACATTGGGTTAATAATTTAGACTTCTCAGTTGGCTTGCTATCGAAGTTTCTGGGTGACATGGATGTCTTGCTTAGTGATGGTAGTCAAGGAACCCCTGAACAGTTTCACAGGCTGCTTGCTTTGCTTTCTTGTTTCTTAGCAATCTTGCGGTCCACTGCTTCTGGATTACTAGAGAACAATCTGCTTGATAAGATGGACGAACCTCTGAGCAAAATGCTTCCTCGGCTATTGGGTTGCCTATCTACCATGGGGCAGAGGTTTGGATGGTCAAAATGGATTGAAGATCTATGGAAGTGCTTGACTCTTTTGGCAGAAATATTGCGCGAAAAATTTTCAACGTATTATTCTCCTTCTCTTGAAATGTTGTTCAAGAGCTTAGAACAGATTGATTCTGTGAATTCTGCAGTCCATGGGAAGATGACAACTTTTCAGATCCATGGGACCTTGAAAACTAATCTTCAGTTACTGTCCCTACAAAAGCGAGGCCTCCTATCATCATGTGTGCTGAAGTTGCTTCAGTTTGAATCTCCAATATCTCAGTTGCGATTGCACCCAAATCATTTAATTACAGCAGGCTCTTCTGCCACATACATATTCTTGCTTCAACATGAGAGTGAAGAAGTTGTTCAACAGGCGATGGAATTATTGATGAAAGAACTTGAGTTGTTGAAGACTGTACTTGGGGAATCATCCTGCCACAAAAACATGACTTTGAATGTTACAGCCTATGAATCCCTTTCAAAAAGTGAAATTTTGGCAATCATGAACTTTGATATGAAGGTTCTTCTTTCCTGTGTTTCTCTGGGAGGGAGAAAAAGTTTGAGTGACCGACCCGAACTTGCTGTCTTGTATCTTAAGAGGTCTGAGAAGTTACTTTCCTTCGTTGTTGAAATGCTGAATCCTTTTGAGCCAGCTATTGATGCCTGTTTGGAGTTGCAAGTCAGCGTTGTGAGGATGTTAGAGTGTTTAGCTACAGTTGAGCTCCTTAGCAACTGTTCCGTGCTAATGCAGCCTAAAATGAAGACGAATCAGGGAAAGACACCATTCAAGTGTACATTTTTTTCCATGGTAATTGAACATCTAAGAAAATACAGTTTAACCATGGTTAAAGCTCTTCGTGTTTCATCCCCTCTTGCTGTAAAGCTAGTGTCACTTGAATGGATTCTAAAGTTCTGTGAGAACCTAATTGCAATATCAAAGAGTTTGTATATGGATGCCTACTTCTGTGAAACATTTCCATATGCTGGTGCAGTTAGAGATATAACTATGGCGGTTTTAGATGCTGCATTTGATAGTGAACCGAAAGTGAGGAGTCAGTCTGTAATGGTTTTAGAGCTGCTTCTGGAGGTAAAGCTGATACACCCAATTCATTTTTACTCCCTGGCTGAAATCCTCCTTGAAAAGCTTGGAGATCCAGATGCGAGTATAAAGAATGCTTTCATTAAGTTGCTTTCCCATCTTTTGCCAGCTACCCAGTACACTTGTGGCATGCGGAGTGAGGTAGGAAATATGGCTCTTAGGCCCCAAGTTCTTATGATAGGAAACGGTTACTTGCACTGGAAGCAAGTCTTTGCACTGAAGCAACCGGACCAACATTTTCACTCGCAGCAACTGGTTTCTGTCTTGAATTATGTCTCCCAGAGATGGAAAGTTCCTTTTGCTTCTTGGATCCAAGGGCTTATCTATGCTTTTCGGGGATCAAAGGATACTGGTGCTGGGCATCCTGATGAAAACCTGATTAAGAATGGGTGGTTGGCAATAAAAGCTGAGAAAAGCTCGATTGAGAGAATCTGCTTGGCAAATAACCTGGCAGGCGCTTGGTGGGCTGTGCATGAAGCTGCTAGGTTTTGTGTTAGTACACGTCTCCGTACTAACTTTGGTGGTCCTGCTCAAACTTTTGCAGCCCTAGAGCGAATGCTTTTGGACATCACGACTGTGCTGCAGGTTGACAGCCAGCAAACTGATGGAACCCTAAATATTTTAGGCTCCTCTGGTGCCCATCTGTTACCAATGAGGTTACTGTTGGATTTTGTGGAGGCGTTGAAAAAAAACGTGTACAATGCATATGAGGGGACTGCTGTTTTATCCTCAGCGCCTCCACAAAGTGTCCTATTTTTCCGAGCTAACCGGAAAGTTTGTGAAGAATGGTTTTCTCGTATATCTGAACCAATGATGAATGCTGGTATATCTCTCCAGTCTCAAGATGCTACGGTTGAGTATTGTACATTGCGGTTTGAAGAACTAAAAAGTCTAGCAACTCTAATGAAGAAAGAAAAATCTAAAATGCAGGCTCTTGACAATGCCCACAATCCTGGAGCTCGGATATCTTCAGACATCTCAAGGATTTTACGACATATGTCATTGGCTTTGTGTCAGAATCATGATACACATGCTCTGCTTGGAATTCACAAATGGGTTTCAATGAATTTAGCTCCTTTGGTCGCAGAAGAAAACGACTTTCAGAAGAACAGTGGTGAATTGGCACTTTTTCCATGGATCACAGGGTTGGTTTATCAGTCAGAAGGACGATATGAAAAAGCGGCTGCTTATTATGCTCATTTATTAGAGGAAGAGGACTGTCTCAGTTCTATGGGCTCTGATGACATACAGTTTGTGATTGAACGAATAATTGAGAGTTATACCTCTTTATCTGATTGGAAATCTCTAGAGTCCTGGCTTTTAGAGTTGCAGGCGCTTCGTGCAAGGCATGCAGGCAAAAGCTTTTCGGGTTCTTTGACTGCTGCTGGAAATGAAATAAATGCAATACAGGCCTTGGCACATTTCGATGAGGGTGATATTCAGGCTGCATGGACATGTCTTGATTTAACGCCTAAAACTAGTGCTGAACTGTCACTTGATCCAAAGCTAGCCTTGCAAAGAAGTGAACAGATGCTTTTGCAGGCAATGCTTTTCCAAGCTGAAGGAAATGCCCAAAAGGTTCCACAGACCTTACAGAGGGCCCGAACAATGCTAGATGAAACTTCACTGGCTCTGTCATTTGATGGATTATCTGAGACAGCACCATATGCCACACAGTTGCATTGTCTTTTTGCTTTTGAAGAGGGTCATCAGCTGAGAGACAGTGAACCTAAACAGAAACACAGTAATTTGATGTTAAGCTCTTGCGTCTGGTCACTGCAGTCTATGGTCAATAGAATTCATCGTGACTGCCGCCCTTGGTTAAAAGTTCTACGAATATACCGGACAATTTTGCCAACTTCCTGGGTTACTCTGAAGCTTTGTATGGACTTGTTTGGATTTGCCCGCAAGCAAGAAAATTACTTGCTTGCAAATCATCTTAAAAATTATCTGAGTGATCATGTATCCAGTTGTGCTGAGGTTAAGTTGCGTGACTTTCTTATATCGAATTTGCAGTATCAGGGAGCCTTGCTGACGTATGCAGAAAACAGAGTTCAAGATGCTGTTGTGGATCTTTGGTCATTTGTACAGCCAGAGGTAACTGCTTTAGAGCCAGTATGTTTGGATGCTGGTGTGGCCTTTTTAAAGGCAAAAGCATGCTTAAAACTTGCAACTTGGCTAAAAGGGGATGGTATTTCTCTGGATTTGGAAAATGTAGTCCTTAAGATGTCAGCAGATTTTAACAGAACTGAGGTTCCTTCATCTGTAAGCAGCAAGCCTCTGCTATACAAGAGCTTAAAACCAAGCATGAAGGCTATTAGTGAGGAGATGATTGGAACGGTTACAAAAGTGTCCACTCAACTTTGTTCTGCAATGGGAAAATCATGGATTTCATATGCTTCTTGGTGTTTTCGTCAGGCAACAGAGTCTTTTTACAAATCTAATGAGTCCACCCTCCACTCATACTCCTTTTCAAGCATCCTTGCTCAAGAGCTCAAACCTGG